CTAGTTCTCCTTAAAGTAAACTTCTTCTTTTACTGTTTTCATACAAGAGAAACCTCCACAAGAATGTTTTGAGTGCATGATAGGACTGAGAGCTCAGGAATTCTGGGCTTCTGTTTCTATAATACACCTAAACCATAATGTGGTCCATCACAGGCAACTTTTAAAAAAACTAAGAGTCAGCCATCTTTACAGTTTCTGAGTGCTCTTTGTATAGGAAATCTGGAATCTGATACTTGTGATTTATCATTTAAGAGTTCTGGAAAGCAGTACTGTCCATTTTACAATAGTTAAATGAATCTCTTTTATTAAGAAAAAAACTTAACCCTTCTGATACTGAATATGTGTTCTCATTATAGGATGTTATGAGTTTTGTATGATTATGGAATTGTTTATTCACTGTCAGAACAGATCCAGGTTTTGTGGGCCTGAGGCTTATAAAACTTTAGGGAGCCCCGTTTAAAATTGCGGAAATATGTGTGTGTGTGTGTGTGTGTGTGTGTGTATATATATATATATATATATATATATATATACACAAAACATACCATTTTAACCATTTTAAGTGTACAATTAGGTAGCACTAAGTACATTCACAGGGGCTGGCCCAGTGGTGCAGTGGTTAAGTGTGCACATTCTGCTTCGGTGGCCTGGGGTTCACTGGTTTGGATCCCAGGTGCGGTCATGGCACTGCTTGGCAAGCCATGCTGTGGTAGGTGTCCCACATAGAAAGTAGAGGAAGATGGGCACAAATGTTAGCTCAGGGCCAGTCTCCCTCAGCAAAAAGAGGAGGTTTTCCAGCAGATGTTAGCTCAGGGCTAATCTTCCTCAAAAAAAGAAAAGAAAAGAAAAAAGAAAGAAAAAAAGAAAAGAAAAAGGAGACAAAACAATGAATACAAATTTAAGTACAAAAGGGAATATTTGGAAAAAAATACAAAATTTTTAAAAGCTTATAAATACCACAAACATCAGAAAATCCAGAAAAATAACATCATAATTAACTATGATAGAGCCCTGTGATACGTGTTTCCCTACATGTTTTGGCTGCATACTCTTTGATAACTTCCTCATAAGACAACAATTTTACATCAGTTTCTATAGAGAGAATGAAGAGATAATTCAGTCTTTCCTTTAACACAGTTGATTGAAATTTGTTTTTTATTATGAGTAATTTAAAAAAACTTCTTTCAGCCCTCAATGAATTATCGGTGATTCCATATCTCTAACTTCCCCTGCAGTGTCTTATACTGGCAGTGCTTCTTGCCTAAGGGGAAGGCCCCTGGAGGCTCCAGCCCTTTGGTCTCCCTCCTCACTATCACAGGTCCAGCTCAGCCAATTCCCTGAAGTGTGTGGTCCTTTCTCACTCCCTGAACCCTACCTCTGCCACGTTGGTCCTTGGTTGGTGAATGAAGCCTGAGTCATAGTGGTTCCCAAGCAGTGGCTCATTTAGATCCTTCTCTTACGGGTCAAAGATAAATCTGGATAATCACTGAGGGCTGGTGGATGTGGAGATGGTGCTGGCAACCTCAACACTGCCACCAGGGAGTAGAGGATGACCTGTGGGTAGGGCAGAGCTCCATGGCTTCCACGTATTTGAGGCTATTTCTTCCTTCCTATGTCCACTGAGGAAAACAGAGGGCCTTAGACAGGGCCTTTTCAAGTGAGGGACCCTGATTCTGCAGTTTTCTTAGCTTTTGTCCTCTGGGACAAGCAAGGGACAGTGAGTGACCTGCTTGTAAGAAAAATGCTATGTGTAGAGGGGGCTACTTCCCAATTCTTGGAGTGTTCTTTTTCCTCAGAAATGGGGCTCAAAGACCCTCATTTCCAGCCTCAATACCCAAGACCCAAATCAAGGAATAGTTAATTCCAACTTTACATTCTGTGGCTTAACATTGAACTCACATTGGCTTCACATAGCATCTCAATAACTGAAATCCTACCTTTTTTTTATGCCTTCAACCTTCAGTTGGGGAGCTCATGCCTTCTTTTGCTAGTGCACTGCTCACAGGGATACAGAACCTCAGACTGATGAGAGAATCAACCTAGGAAAACAGAGACTAGACCTTGCCATTCATTCATCTGTCAAATCTCTGCAAGCTAATTACGAGCAAAGCATTGTTTACGAGTGCAGGAAGATGGGAGTTTGCACCTCTGAAACTATCCTCCATATCTGTAGATACCTACTGATGGAAATTCCTGATGCCCAATGCCTGCTTCTGATATCAAAAGTCTTGGGTCTCTGTTGCCAAATATGGGTCCAAATGGAGACCTTTTGCTGCAGCCTCTCGGACACTGAGCTTTTCTGGCAGCATAGATTACCTCTTCTAGCATAAGCAGCTGGATCAGAGTCCTTATCTTGTCTTGGCTCTAGTGAAAGGATTTGATCCTTGATCCAGGCATCTCCTGCCTGTCCTGGGTCCTGCTCTACCTCCAATAATGACAATAAACATTGAACAAAGAAAAATAATGAAGACATGTATTAACCAAATGCCATGTGTACACTTCATTTGGATTATGAATCAAGTGAACCAACTCTTAAAAACAAACATTTATAGGAGCTGGCCCCGTGGCCGAGTGGTTAAGTTCGCGCTCTCCGCTGCAGGCGGCCCAGTGTTTCGTTGGTTCGAATCCTGGGCACGGACATGGCACTGCTCATCAAACCACGCTGAGGCAGCGTCCCACATACCACAACTAGAAGAATCCACAACGAAGAATATACAACTATTACCAGGGGGTGTTGGGGAGAAAAAGGAAATAATAAAATCTTTAAAAAAAAAACCAAAAAAAAACCCCAAAAAAACCCCAAACATTTATGAGACTATTAGAAGAATTTTGAAGGGTGAGATGATGGTATTTTCCCCTCAATATTTTTTTAGGAAAAATTTCAAACATACAGTACAGTTGAAAGAATTTAGAATAAACACTGTATACCACCACCTAGATTTACTATACTAGCTTTATTACATATTTATCCATTTATCTGTCCATTAATGTATCTTATTTTTGGTGCATTTCAAAGCAGTTGGTAGCAACCAGAACTGTCAGAGTTCCTCAAGGCCTCCACAACTCTGCAATGGGTGGGTCTGATGGGCAGAGCCCAGCTCTTGTACCTGCACCCTATTTGCAAATGCGGCTGCAAGATGACAATATTGGTTCCATTTTCTTTACCACCGACTGAAATAATGGTGATCTACACAAGATGTCTCTCTCATAGAAATGTCCAACCTGGCGAACAATCCAGGGATGTAGGGCTCTTCCTTTCTCATTCCATCATTTTCTGGGATATCGTTTTTTTTTTCATGGTAGGGGATGGCTCATCACCAGCCCTACATCCAAGCCCCAGCCAGTGGGAAACGAAAAACCCATATATGTACAAGGTAGGAGAACGTTAGACTGGAGAACTGGGACATTTCTTTAAGATTTGAGGCAGTTGGCTTTGTGGGTCATGGGGAGGAACAAAACATACATTAGGAGAAATGGGGGATGTCTGGGTAGGTGAAACCACATCCTGGAACTGGAAAGCTGGGACCACCCCTTCAGTAATTGGGAATATTCTGTGGTAGAATTAGCCCCGGGTTCTCTGGAACTTCCTATGACATGTTATTTAGTTAAGTAAATATTTTTTGAATTCCTTCTATGTATTATGCTTTCTGCTAAGCACTCGTATGAGATGATTACAACAGTAGTGTTGGTAGAATGCTGTATGCAGGCATTATCCTATACTTACAGACTTAAAAGTTTTAACTCGAATAATGATTCCCTACATTTGTATGATGCTTTAAAGATTTTTCAAAATAGTTTCCTAGGCTTTAGTCTCATCACTCTGTAAGGTATTATCATCTTCATTGTAAAGTTAACAAACAGGCTTGGAAAAGTTACCTAAGGTCAAATGGCAGAACTGGGACTCAAATCCATACCTTTGAAATCCTCGTTCACTTTTCTTTTCACTACACCACAGCCACTTCTAGACCACTTCAGGAAGTGCCAAAAGTCTGCCTCTCCACATTGTGGGAATTGGCTACTCTTAGAGTGCCAGAGTATCACTTACTACTTACTAATTGCAAAGGTAAAATGTATCTTTACAATGAAGAGTTCTAGCAGCTGCTACTTTAACCAATGGATCAAACTTCGTTTTAGTAACAGTGGGACAACCTGACATTATGCACATTCATATGTGATATGATTCAATATGAACAATATCATTTGCAGTGTGCTTTTCCTAAAAATCACTTAACTTGAATCAAATCAAGCCTCTAGATTCTAGCGTCCAGATCTAGCCTGCAGTTTACAGAAATACAGTGAATAGAAGAACAAGCTAAATGACACCATGAGATAACCAGATAAATACAGAGAGTGGAATATCTCCCAGGACTCTTAGCTTGGAATCTCAAGAGTCAATGTATTAAAAAGAAAATGTATGACTTTTGATTGAATCCTGGTTTTTAAAAGTTACAAAAGCCATTCTTAAAGTGAATATGTTTTTTACTTGCCAGCATAGAATAGTTTTCTTAGGTGTGACAGTTTTATAGGCTATTGTCCTTATTCTGAGGAAATGCATGTTACAGTATTATGAAATGTTATGATGTAAAGTATTAGTTATGAAATACTATGATGCCTACAACTTACTTTTAAATGGTTCCATCACTCAACAACTTACTTTCAAACGGTTCAACAACAATACATACATACGTATACACATGGGGGAGAATGAGCAGACAGAGCAAAATGCTAAGAATTGCTTGATCTAGGTGGAGGAACACAGGCGTTCACTGCACTGTTCTCTCAACTTCCCTTCTGCATTAAAATTATCACAGTAAAATGTTGGAGAGGAACAAATACCGCCTCTACTCGCGGAGTCGCCTTGGGCACTATTCAGCCCGGGGAGCAGACAGGCGCTGTCGCTGTCCGGCTCCCTCAGCTCCGGGCCGGCTCGCCAGCAGACTCAGTCGGGCATGCGCAGAAGCGCCGCGCGCCCGCCCCGCCCCTCGGGCGTACGTGTGCGCGCAGGGCGCACGCGCGCGGCTCCCGGCAGCCCGCGAGACGCCAGCTGCGGGACACGGCGGCTCTCTGAGGCGGGAGCTGAGGAGGATGGAGCCGCCAAAGGTGGAAAAGTTCATCACCGCCGACAAGGGAAACGGGCTGCGCGCCTTGGTGCCACTGCGCCCCGGGGAGCTGCTCTTCCGCTCGGATCCCCTGGCGTACACGGTGTGCAAGGGGAGTCGTGGCGTCGTCTGCGACCGCTGCCTCCTCGGGTACGTAAGGAGCGCCCTCGCCCACCTGAGTCCGAGCCACCCGGTGCGGGGCCCGGGGTGCTGGGGGCGTCGGGCGGGCGGCCGGCCCTGGGACTCCGGCCGGTCGGGGCTGCACAGGAGCGCGGCGGTACCGCCGAGGAGCCCAGCCCCGGAGTCCCCCGGGCGCGCGGTTCCCGGGGCGGAGCTGGGCTCGCTAAGAACCCCCACTGGGTTGCGGTGGGACCTGGGGGGAGTCGGTGGGGCCGACTTAAGGGCAAGCGTTGGGCCGCGGGCAGTTTTGCTGGGGAACAAAAAGTCTGTGTCCTGCGCGACAAGCTTCATTGGTGCGGCTGTGGAAGTCACGACTGGGGCGGGGTGGACGCAGGGATGTGTATAAGTGAGGCTCAGCTGAGGCCCCGCCGGGAAAGGACCCGGCTCGCAGGTGGCGGAGGAATCTTGGCGTTTGCGGAGCACTTCCTTTGGTCCAGGTTCTCCTTGGCCAGGGGATACGAAGATTATCCGGACATCGTTAAGAATCTTTAGGAAGTAGATAAGTGAGAGAGAGAATCAATTACAGTGTATCGGAAGGGCTGAACTAGAGGTGCAGTACGCGCTTGGGAGCTTGTTACTGAGGTTCCGTGGTGTGCTCTTCCTTGAGTGGCTAGGCAAGCAAGTCTAACTCTTAAGCACCCACCTAGATGCGAGAATTCATGTGAAAGTGTTTCATAAGCCTGGAAGCACTGGGCCAGTGTGAAGTGCTATCCGGAGGCAATTTACGGAAATATGTAATATATATGCGCTGTCATAGGAATTGTGTTCCAGCAACAAATGTTACTGAGCTCCTGTTATATGCCAAGGAGAAGAGGTCTGTCTGAGATAGGTGGGATGATTTTTTTCCAGTACTGCTCTTCCAGACCTGTTAGCCTGGGATTGGGGGGGGTGGGGGTGAGCAGGTAAGTGCAAAGCTAAAATCAGTAGCGTGACCATTAATCTTACTGCGTCCTTATTTGGTTCATAATTGAGGAATTTATTTAATTTTGTATTTTAAAGTTACCAAATGATAGTTATCTTTTGCTTCCTGAAGTAACCATAAGAGCAACAACTAAAAGATGTATTGAGGAGAGAGCACCTTGAGCTTTTTGTAAACTGTGTGGTTGAAAACAATTCATTCCTTTCAAGATTTTACTTTTTTGCTGAAGGCCTGACATTGAAAGTCATAGATCTTTAATTCTCGTTTAAGGAAATTAGAGAAAGCTGGGCTCTTCCTCATGTTAAATCCTTTGGGAGTCCATCTAGAGTTTGAATGTAGTCCAGAGTAGAGAACTTGCTGTTTGTTAAGTCCTGTAATATTAATTAACGGGGAAGATGTGGGTCATCTTGCAGATAAAGTCAGACTGACAAGTTATTTATTACTTGGAATAGGAAAGTTTTGGAATGAATACATGATGACAAATTGTTAACTGAAGTATCAGAGCTGAACTTGTCATACGACACATGGAACCATCCATTTTCCAAAGTGGACTACTCAAACCCAGCCCTTTGTGGGTGGCATGCTCTTGATTTACCATACTGTTTCATTACTGCTGTCAGCCATTCATTTTTCTTATTAACAAGAACTGTAATGATCTAAGCAAAAAAGGAATTTCATGAAAGAATATTGGGGCATTCTCAGCACTGCTTTAAATTCTGGAGGAAACCTGGCTCTGAAAATGGACAGGAACCAAGGGAAGTTCCAGAGTCAGAATTGCATTTCAGAAGTAGTTGGGGTTGGGGCCTGGAGAGTACATCACTTCTGATGATGCTTGGTGATTCTGGGTTCTGCAGCATGTACCAGCAGCACCATGACCATGGAGCTTGCTGCTGTTCTTGCTACCGCTGCTGCGTGGGAAACTGGTTATTACTGGAAAGTTGTTTTCTCATCCATGCTTCTTTGTGATACTAGCCTCTGATTCAAAAGTCCTCAGTGGGTGTCTTGGATTAGCTTAGGTCACTGCCTGCACCCTAGCTATGAGGGAAGTTGAGAAGGTGAGTATTCTGCCCTTTTGGCTTTTAAGAAAGGAGTCAGGCTCTACTTCCCACCAATATTTAGATAGTGGGGAAATCAGCAAACGTAAACATAAGAAAAGGGATGTCACTAAATGCTAAGCATCCAAACAAAACAAACTAAAACACGCAAATGCATTTTTCATACTAACAAACACTTGTTTATTAGTCCTTTACACAAAAAATAAATTTGCACTCATTTTGGATTGCTAGGATACAGTTCACTTGTGTGGTGGTAGTAGGTGCTCTGTTGAACACTTCCACTTGAGCAGTTGCAGCGTTTCTGAAGCGCCTAGTTAGGAATTACTGCAACCTGAAAATAGTATTCGAGAAATCAAAGGTTGGTGCATTGTTTTATGTAGTTTTTCTACCACTGTTGAATGCCCATCATTGGGGGATACAGTTTCTGTGATCCTTATCACCTTGTAAGTAAAATTTGGTTTTTTATCCACAGTCAACTGTGAAGTCTTTGAGAATAGAATTACATCTTTCAATTTTTCCTTTGTCTATGTGCCAAAGCCTGGCACATAGTAAACTCTTAGTTTGTGTTATGAATGTCTCGCGGAACTTTCTTTCTGCTGCCTTCCATTGGAAATAAGAAATGGAATGAAAATATTAGTTTGTAACTATTAACAACAGCTCCATGGCAGGGGTGAGGGGACCAAAATAAAATAAAAGAACAGATGCTTATTGTAATTACTTCATTAGCCTCCAAATGATTTATTGTTATAAGATTCTACCTGATTTCCTATGGCCTTGGGCTGTTTTGATTAATACTTTAGTTCTTGGATATTTATTTTGATTATTAGAGAAACCTGAGCCTGCTTCGTGGCTTCTTTTGCTCTTTTCCTCATTAAAAATTGGCTTCTAGGGGCCGGCCTGTTGCCGAGTGGTTAAGTTCGCGTGCTCTGCTGCAGCCTAGGGTTTCAGCGGTTCGAATCCTGGGCGCGGACATGGCACTGCTCATCAAGCCATGCTGAGGCGGCATCCCACATGCCACAACTAGAAGGGCCCACAACTAAAAATGCACAACTATGTACCAGGGGGCTTTGGGAGAAAAAGGAAAAATAAAATCTTAAAAAAAAAAATTGGCTTCTGGCTTTTCATGTTGTGAGTGGAAAAGAAAATGAAGTTTCTAAATTGGAGAAAAATTAAATGACAATTTAATGCTGTTGTATGTCAGCATTGTGACCTAAAATAATTTATATTATTCTTTTTCTGCTGTTGCACACATTTTTAGTTTGATGGAGCTGACAAGGACTGACAAAGGGGTTATTTGTGTTTTCTGTTTGTTTTGGTAAATGTAGCACATAAAATTCTATTGTATTTACTTTGTAGGTCTCCCCACTCCCTCTGCTAGTGACCTAAATCTAATCTTTTTATCCTGGGGATATCCCTCCCCTAGCATACAAGAGATGGTGACTGTTGAAGTTGTTAAGAGATAATATTTTGGAGAATTTTAGGTCACTGTATTTTTTTTTTCCCTAAAGTTCCAAATTGCCTGCAGTTTCCATATCAAGAGCTACCTCTGGCAAACTCTAATGACAATTTCTTCTGTAGGGTAAAGAGGAGATCTCTTCCATTATTAAGGCTGAGCTTGAGGCTTAGTGCCTCCCAGGAAGATGGAGGAGGAATTGGAAATGGAAAGTCGATCTTTTTAAGTCCTAGTGGATTGTGGGAAGAAGGGGGATGGAGGTAGGGAAAATAGATTGTGAGAAATATATGTTCTGACCTTCCCAGTCTGGCCAAAGTTCTGGGGTTGGGGTGAGAGTGTTCATTGGGTTGAGGGGACAGTCAAAAGCAAAAGGCCTTTGGCTCTGCTCTTTATTTGGAATCTTGAGAAGAGGTAGCTATGTAGGTTGGTGCTCTGCCAACATTGAGAGCTATAGCACAGCAGAGGTAGAAGGAAGTGGGTAGATAGATGAGCCTGTGGTAGCAGGGGATTCTGAAATGCTCTCATACTGCTCTGAGGGACGTAGTGGAGATTAGAGTTCTGGTGGAACCCAGGCATCATGACATAGGACTGTGTGACTCTAGACTAAAGGTCAGGATCTTGGATACCACAGATGGGAGCCAGCATGACATCCCAAAAGGTGAGATGGCAGCAGTCTAGCCACGGGACCCAGTCATCTCCTTGCAGCAGAGACCAGTGAGGATCCACAGAGATACCAAGATCCAAGGTCTTCTTGCCACCGTATGGATGTCCCATAAGCCCCATTTGGAGAAGAATTTACCTGAAAGCACCTATTTAAACCAGCTCTAGTAAGGAGCTAAACTTAAATGTGTGAATATGAATTGGAAGTGACTGAGATATTATTTGGCAAATTTTAAGTTTCTACCTATTTACTAGGGTGAGTGTTCATGAGGAAGATTAGATTAATTAAAGAAAAAATAGCCTCATGTTCATGAGACTGATTAGATCAATTACAGAAAATAAAGGAGTGCATTTGAGTTAGAGTGTACGTAAATATGACAGGCAATAAAGGTCAAAAAAAGAACACTGTGTTTGGTGAGATGATGTAATCCATCTTGGCCAAGGCCTGGACTTAGGTTGGAGGCAGGAGGGAATACCTTCATATATTGGGGTAAGAAGAAGAGGTGCCAGAGAAGGCAGCAGCAATGATTGAAAGGTTTGATGACAATAGAGAAGTGGTTACTGAGTGACTCAGTCTTAGAGAAAAGAATGTTGGAAATATTCTTCTAGGAGAGAAGAGTGAAATGCCTACTGAAATGTAGTAGGATTACTGGGGTCCACTTAAAACTTGTGTTCATTTATTTAAAGTGAGAGCACTTAGAAGGGTAGTGCTTTTTTCTTTCCCAATGGTCAGCTGCTTGACTATGAGAATTGAATTTACCCTGGACTGCTAGGTTAGTGTGATGGATGGAGAGAGGGCAAGGGAGGTTATAATCATGAACTGTGATTTCTAAGCTGGGGACTGAGATCATGAGGAGGATGATGGACAATGAAATGTGGTAGA